TAAGTGAAATATCTGTGCTGCGGATGTTTACTTTGCCAAATAGGTGGTTTAGATTAAATTGTAGGGAGACCGGGGCTGGTTGTCACATCGGTTGGTTGTCACAATTGTTAAATTTCAGCAGCTCCGCAAGATGTAGTTGCCTGGCGCGCTACACATCATTTCTGCGTCCGCGCAGAACACTTATATTCAGTACGAAAGTTGTCGTTGGTAGATTAAGGTCTGCACGCACAAAAATAAACAAATCGCCTAACCTGAGTAAATTTTTCGTTTGCCACATAATTTGTGTTTTCAAGACTACATGTTGAGCTCCTTTCCGCCAGATCACGTAAAACAGCCACAACGTGGCAACGCCGACGAGGAGAAGAGGAAGAGGTGGCCGCCATATTGCAAGATGACATGATCAAGCCGTCGACACACAGACACGACGCCGTACAAAACAATTATTGTTATTCAAATAATACCAGCTAGGATTGTAAAAGTAAAATAAAAGCCGAAAAAAATACAGTCCACTTCTCTACCAACACTACATTTGATAATAAAAAGAACTGTTGAATTTATTTTGTTCTTCAATAATCCAAATACGACTTAACATAAGTATTGACTTTGAATTTGTTAATTTAGTGACGCTATCTAACCTTAAAAATTAATTATCTAGTGGGGCAGGTTGTCTCAAATTAGCGGGGGCCTCTTGTCACATGTGACAGCCAGCCCTGACACTAGACGATTAGCATTGCACATCATTCTACGCAGTTATATAATGTATTTTTTTAATATTTTCAGGTTACATAAGCATGGTTCGAAATTTCAAAAGGAAGACTGAGAAGGGCAAAGCGCCGCCTGACGTACTTTTAAGAGCTGCTAGGTTTGTGAGATTAGGATCCTCAATAAGAAAAGCGGCAGCTGACTTCAATGTAAATTACCGTACTTTAGCAAGATACTGTAAGAAAATTCCAGAATCTGAATTACTTGATGATCGAGTTGTTGCGCCGTCAATTTCAGTTGGCTACATCAAAAATCATTTAGTATTTGAGCCTGAACTTGAAAATATCATCTAGTGGAATATGTCCTCAAAGCATCTGATATTTATTTTGGATTATCACCCAAGGAAGTACGTGGACTTGCATATGAATTTGCTAATGCTAATTCCTTTAAAATGCCGGAAAATTGGAACCACCATAAAATAGCTGGTCCTGACTGGTTTAGCGCGTTTCTAAAACGTCATCCTGTACTGTCTATTCGCAAACCGGAAGCAACTAGTTCAGCAAGAGCCAGTAGTTTCAATAAAACGAACGTCAACGCATTTTTTGATAATTTAGCTTCAGTTATGGAAAAACAAATTTGAGCCTCACGAAATCTGGAACATGGACGAAACTGGGATTACAACTGTCCAAAGACCCGACCGCGTTGTTGCCAGAAGAGGATTCAAACAGGTTGGTTCGATAGTTTCATCAGAAAGAGGAACTCTTGTTACCTTAGCAAGTGCAGTAGTTATTGGAAATTCCATACCTCCTTTTTTCATTTTTCCACGGGTACATTTCAAACCACATTTTTTAAATTCGGCGATGAAACTGTAAGTCTGATAAATATCAACACACAGGAAGCAATAGATTATCGTTTCTACATAGTGTTCCCAAAGGATAAACCATATTAGTTATGCACCAAATATGTGCATATAACGCTTCAGATCGAATAAAAAAAAGAATTACTGAAAATTGTGACAACTAGCCCCGGTCTCCCCTACTTATAAACAATTCAGTATCCGCCATTACAATACAATAATACTCGTACTTATGCATATGCCGAGCGACAACACCGAACTGGTTTGTTACCGCCGCCACCGCAGGTTAGGTCGCTTACTGATTAGACCCGTACAGGGCCGTATACTACGCTGTTCAATTTTCGTACGCCGGCGCGCATGACGTCACGCGGAGAGTGAGTATCATTTGGGTTGATAGGGATCACGTGCATATTTTCACCTACAGGCCAAACGGCTGCCCGGATTTTCACATATAAGGTGTCGTTGGATTCGTCTTAGCGGTCTGAGTGACACTAGCTACATTGAGATTTTATGAAAAACAAAATGGTGGATTTTAATAAAAGATTTCAACCTTGTAATTCCTACTTCATAGGCTACTACAGATCAAACAGCTTGATAAATTTTCACATTACCTATATTTTAGTATGTTCTGCGGAGCAGGATTAACCTGTTCATGTCATAATACTGTACTACATTCACCCTTATTCCACAGAACATCCTAAATACATGTAAGTGTGAAAATATACGCCACTCGAAAAGTATAAAAATGGAGTTATCTTCTTTTTGCAGTAAGGTGGTGGTATAACAATAAATGGAAATGACTTAGTCTAAGCAATATTTTTTTTCCATTTCCTTTTACGATTTTTCTGGTTTTTTTAACTTTTATTCAGTTCTTTGACCCTGAAGAACATCCTTGACCTGAAAAACAGTTTTTTAGCTTTTTCAAGGCACTCAATGTTGCTGCTCTTCAACAGAAATTCACCTATAAAATTCTGCTTTTTTGTCACTATTCCGTCCCCATTGAATGTAGTGAATACCTTGTTCAGCTTCTCAATTTGATTCATGAAAGTTGCTGAAGGTTTTGATAATCCACCCTCACTAAGATGGTCTTTAAATGAATAAGTTTCATTTGAGGAACTTTTCAAACTCTCATCCTGCAATTTATTGCAAACAAAGCCGGCTAAATTTTCCAGCATGTCATACTCGAGCTCATCTATTTCTTCCACTAAAACTTGCTCGGTATAGTCAACTGATACTTCAGGTGCATTCAGTTTATTCTCGTGAATGATGCTTTTAGTGGTTAGTGGAATGTATGGAGTACCCTCTGACTCTACGCTGCAATAGGTACTGTGAGTATGCGCCTTCGTTTCGTCCCAACATATATGACCTTATTCTATACTTAAACTTGTATGGTCATGAAGACCATCTTTTAGCCTAATTACTCCGAAAAAAATTTCTATCACATCTTGATTAAGACGTCTTGTTAACAGGTATTGGACGCTGAAGCGTCGTTTCAGGTCCTCTAGAGCATTTTCTAGCAAACCCTAGCGCTTTTTACATTGACTATGTCTTATCTTTTTGAAATCTTTTCGAATGTGCGTTTCTGGTACATTGGAGTAACCTTACCCCGAAATCGGTTTCCTGAATGTTTAATATGAATAGGATCTGACTTGGGCGTTTAGCGTTATTCTTGTCACGTGCTTTGGATAAGTTGTTTTCTGAATTTTCAATGAGTGCGGATAGGCGTGAGTTTGTTCCATTGAGTTTCGAAATGAGTTTCATAGATTTGTGAGTCATTTTCTTGTTTGGTGATACCATAAATTAGATAGAAGGGGGCGAATCTAGTAATAGAATGAATACGTTGGTTATAAATAAGCAATGCATCGGTAATTAAATCTGAAGTTAGTACAGTAGGCGATTTTAATTTTAAGATTCTTAGTTTTTCAGACAACGTAGAATGGAATCGTTCAATAGGCAAACAAGAAGAGGGGGTTGGCTGTACTACCAATATGCAATTTAATAGCATGGGCTAGACCAGGGCTGTCGAACATACGGCCCGCGAACCGCATGCGGCCCGCGAACTCCTTTCTTGCAGCCCGCTTCACGGGTCATGTATACATCACATGTATAAATTACTCTCAAATACCGAATATGCACAATTCTTACATTAATGATAAAATAGATTATCATGTGACGCCACTGGCGACCGATAGCAGGCCGCAGCGAATTTACTGAAAATTGGACCGATCTCTCGATCATCCCCGAAGCGGGACAGGCAGTTTTGTTCTAGTGCTAGTGCGTTTCAGTACACAGCAACTCTAAAGCCTTTTTAACTGAAATACTCCGTGAAATATGTCTTCACAGAAACGAAAAATAACGAACGAACATCGAGTTTATAATGACCGTTGGGAATCAGAATATTTAATCTCAAACAATAATAATAAACTTCAGTGCCTTGTTTGTATGCAAGTACTATCGGTTCCTAAAGAATATAATATGGAACGACATTACACTACGTTACACGAGAAAACGTTTCGGCAATATTCAGGGGACTCGAGGCTGGCTATCATAACGGAATACAAGAAAAAACTAAAACAACAAACAAGTTTTTTCAAAAAATCTGACTCTGATAACAAGTGCAGTATTGCCGCCTCTTACAAAATAGCGCTGGAAATTGCCAAAGCAAAAAAACCTTTTAGTGATGGAGTGCTTATCAAAAAGTGTGCAATAGAAATGGCGAAACAATTCAATGAATTAAAAGTTGCCAAAAAATTTGAAACAGTCTCAGTATCGCATCAAACAATTGCAGAACCATATCAATGAACATGTATCCAAAAAATTGCGTGACGTGGTTGAAAAATGTAAATATTTTTCGCCATGCCTGGATGAAAGCATTGATCTGTCTGACATTAGCCAGCTTGTAATTTTTATCCGAACTATTCAAGACGACTTCAGTGTAGCAGAGGAGATGCTTGACCTTATTCCTCTCCATGGTACAACCAAGGGTACAGATATTTTTGAAGCTGTGAATAAGTTGGTGTCAGACTACGGGGGATTTGATAAATGTTCCTGTATTGTCACTGATGGCGCCAGAGCTATGACAGGGACTGAAATTGGATTTGCAGGACTATTTAAACCAAACAGCATCAACTGTCCTATGATACATTGTATTGTTCACCAAGAGAGCTTATGTGGAAAATCTTTACGTCAAATAAATGTCTTGAAAGTGGCTGTTAAAATAACTAATATTGTTAGAGGGGGCAATCCTGCTTTGACTCACAGAAAGTTTCGTGATTTTTTGGCCGAAGTGGATGTTACATATGGGGACTTGTTACTTCACACCGATATTCGTTGGTTAAGCGCCGGAAAGTGTTTGCAACGATTTTTCGATCTACGCAAGGAAATTCCTATTTTCCTTAAAAATGAAGTGAAGTCCGACACTACGGAACTGGAAAATCAAATGGCAGATGCACAATTTTTAGCAGACCTTGCATTTTTAACAGACATGACATCTCACCTTAACGAATTGAATTTGAAGCTACAAGGAAAACAGCAGAATATTGCCAACTTATTTGGACACATAAATGGGTTTAAGAATAAAATTCATTACAAAAAATTATTTTTCATTTTTTCCAAGTTGTAAAGAACATTTCGAATAAATGAAGGATTTTGAGGAAGTTTCATATTTACCTCATATAAAATACATTGACACAATTGCAGAAGAATTCAAAAATCGATCTAGTGACTTTAAAAAAATCGAAAGCGACATTTCAGTTTTCACTCAGCCACTAACAATTTCTGTTGAGAACGTAAGCAGAGCAGACCTTCAACTGTAATTGTGTGATTTGCAATCAGATCCTTTTTACCAAGGAAGAACTGAAACTGGCTTGGACTTTTTTAAGTTACTGCCAGGAGAACGATACCCCAACTTGCGAAACTTAGGACTTACAATGGGATCAATGATGGGAAGCACGTATCTTTGCGAAAGCAGCTTTTCCAACATGAAATTTATCAAGTCAAAGTATAGATGTTCCCTCTCTGATAAGTCACTTACTCAGTTACTTCGTTTATCAACAACAAATACTAATGTTAATATTGATGCATTAGTATTAGAAAACCAACATCCTCAAATGTCCCACTGATTTTTTTGTAATTTCATATTTTTTGAATAAATAAAAATAATAGAAAAACTGTTTTTGTATACCATATAGTATAGTATATACCTATTAAAACTCAGTAATAATGTTGTATAGAAATATTTTATAATGCGGCCCTCCAAACTGCATGTTTTTTGAAGTAACCCTTGGGCCAGATTAAGTTGGACAGCCCTGGGCTAGACAATAATCTTTTATTACGGCTGAATTTTATTCACCTGGATCAGCAGTGATTTCTCTCGGAAACTTAAGGTGGGAGAGAGGGTTTGAATTTTTTCAAAACCTCAATGCTGTTACGAGACTGAATTAGATATGCTTGACTATAACGACTAAAAGATTCAATTATAGTGAGAAAATGAAATTTATCTATTTTGTAAACATCGAGAAAGATATGTTCGAATGGACTTTTGGCTAAGAATGGGCCTTGTTGTTCAACAACTGGAGGGTGACGCTCGTATTTGCTTAAGAGACATAGATCACATCTATTAATGTAGTCGGTAATTAGGCGTCTAAGGTCAGGAGTGAAAATCATTTTTCTAAAATGATCGTGGGTTTCGCTGATTCCATTGTGCGTCTGGGAGTGATATAAAGAAATTTCAGTGAGGGCCTTATCTTTGTCTAAATACAGGAGCTTATATGCGGCTTTAGTTAAAGTGATTTGTTTGTTAAAAAATAATTGGTTAAAACGCGATTAAGTTCAACCATAATAGTATGCTCTGTGTAGAAGATCCGATAATGAGTATTGGTGTGTCAATAATATTTTAGCAAAACCATCAGGTGAGTATGTTCCCGTATCTGATACATCTGATAGTATTATTCGGGAGAGTCTTAACGTCGAATACCTTTTCATAAATTATGTCGATACGATGCTTAAAATGATAAAAGTTCTTATCTTCGGAAAATGTTATGTTTTTAACGGGATTTACAGGCGAAGAATAAAGCGTGTGCGTGGAACGCGCATAGGTAATATCATAGTTAGGTGTTTGAAGAATTGCTTGAAGTTCATCATCGCTGAGCGTCGGGTTTTCGGCGACATGCGGTAATGTAGATAAGAGATCGTCGCTGTCATCTACACGACTGAGCGCGTCGGCTACATAATTCCCTTTGCTTTTTCTGTATCTGATATCAAAATCTTATGCTCTAATTTCCAGCGGATTATGCGTTGATTGGGCTTTTTGAGTCCATAAAGCCAAACTAATGGTTTATGATCGGTTTCTATAATAAATTTATGTCCGAAAAGGTATGGACGGAAATGTTTACACGAGTCGATGATAGCTAGACATTCTTTTTCGATTGTACTGTAGTTACGTTCAGCACTACTGAGGGTTCTAGAATGAAATGAGACGGGCTTATTGTTTTTTTACAACACACTTCCTATAGCGACGTTACTGGTATCGGTAGTCAATACAAATTGTTTGGAAAAGTCTGGGTAAGATAAGATCGGTAAATTAGAAAGAGTTCGTTTAATGATATCGAAAGCTTGGAGATATTCATGATTATTGGGATTGATCTTCTTACCTTTACTTAAAAGTTTGGTAAATGGCTTGGATATTTTGGCAAAATCCTTTATGAACTTATGGTAGTACTTTGCTAAACCTGGAAAAGATTGAACTTCCTTAATAGTTTTCGGAATAAGGAAATGCTCTATAGCCTTTATTTTTTCTGGATTCGGCAAAATACCATTAGGAGTGATCATGTGGCCAAGGAAAGGCACATCTTTTCGTAAAAATTCAGTCTTATCGAGTTGAATACGAAGTTCGTACTTTCTGAGAGTCTGAAAAATTAGTTTAAGGTGATATATGTGTTCTTGAAGGGACTTTCAGAAAATGATAATATCATCTAAGTAGACGAACCAGAATTTACCTACGTAGGGAAGCTGAACGGAGTTCATCATCCGCATTCCTTAATCCGAACGGCATACGGATATACTCTAATACCCGTTCTCGATGGTAAAAGCAGTTTTGCCAACTGATTTGGGGTCCATCGGTATCTGGTGGAACCCTTGGGCGAGATCTAACGTGGCTTTGCCCAAATTTTCAAAAATTTCCTCGTTTCTGGGTTTTTTGTCCTCTATTGTAATTTCATTTAGCTTGCGGAAATAATGACCATACGGTACTTCTTTTTGCCGGAAGCATCAGGCTTATGTTTACGAGGGATGTCTTTTGAGTTTTGCATATGGAAATAGAACAACACGATAGGTAGTTTTAAATGACTTTATTGTTTTTCGAAGTATTCTCCACGAAGATTAATACACATCGGCATGCCTTCGAACCAATTTTCGAAGCACTTATTCCACTCGTTTGCTGGCAGATCCAAAACGGCATTTTTGAATGCGTCAACTGCTTCTTCTAGTGACTGGAACCTTTGACCACGCAGTCTGTTTTTAATTTTCGGGAAAGTAAAGAAATCGTTAGGATTTAGATCGGGACTATATGGAGGATGGTCCAATAATTCCACGTTTTCTTCCTGCCTTCCTACAGTAGCAGACATGGTGAGAAAGTAGACGTGCTGTGTGTTGCTCTGCGGAAAATCTGAAAAACCTCCATGTAATGTAAGTGGAATTAAATAATTTGGTTCTTCTGCTCTGAAAGGTTAGTGGACACTAAATCAATATGTCATTGACACGATATCAAATGACCGATGTTAAATTAATTATTATATTATTATAAAGCAAACCATTGAAGAATTGCTCAGTAATGATAAATTCTTAACGCTTATTTCTGATACAATCGAACAGAAACTGGGCATAAAGGAATCTCAACAAAAAATGGTCGAGCTAGAAAAACAAATAGTGGACCTGAGACATGCTAAGAATAAACTAGAGTGTGATTTGGAAAAATTTCAACAACATGCACGTCGGAAATCTTTTAGAATAGTTGGCATGAAGGAATCACATGGTACAAGTGGCCTGGAGCAGGTGCTTACCTTATGCGAAGATAACCTGAAAACTCGAGTTTTGGTAGAGAATATTGAAAATTGTTTTTGGTTAGGAAGAAAAAAGAACGAACAGCGTTCTGTCTTGTTTACTGTAAATTCTCATAACCTGAAAATGAAGCTTCTAAGAAACAGGAAGTTGCTGAAAGGTTCAGGAATAACTCTTACTGAAGATATGTCACCTGCTCGATATAACCTGTATCAAAAGGCCGTGCAGAAATGGGGTAAGCAGAAGACCTGGTTTTATAACGGAGAAATATGGGTGAACTCCTACAAAATCTAACCCGTACGTCCTGGAGTTCGTTCTGCGGGGCGGCCTTGGGCGCTGAACCGTATGCGACCGTGTAGGAGGGGCAACGGGGTGCCGGTCTTGCGGTGGACCGCCTCGATCAGTTTTTGAGGAGACCCGCCGGAAAGCCGGTAGCCCGGCCAATCGAATGATTCGATGAGCCACAGGTGTCTCGGATGTATATCTGGGACGCCTGCAGCTCAACGGTCATCATGGGCAATGGTACTTTACCCAACCCAAGGTGTTAAGCGATTCCGTGCCGAGGGGTGCGTGGCGGTGGGGATGCACCGTCTTAAACGGAGCCTCTGGGACACCGGGCGACCTCCCAGAGTATCCAGCCTTGCGTCCGTGTAGGGGCACCGCGGACGTCGACCACCACTTCCCCTATACTCGTGGGAACAATATGGAACCCAATAAAAATTATAAAAACCCCGAGGTCCCCCCTACGGGGGACTCCGAACATCCGGGTGGACCCTCAACAGGGGACCCCAAACATCCAGGCGGCCCCTCACCAGGGGACCCTGATCGTACTCTCACAGAGGAATCTGTCAGAAGCTTAGCGATAGAGCTAGCGGAAAGGGTGGGCTCTCTAAAAATTAAGAAGAAGTCTCGGCCAGGTTCCGACAGGAAAAGGGCTCGGAAGCGGAGAGAGGCGGCCTGGCGACGGGAAGCGGCAGAGGTCTGCCGGTAGGACACCGGAAGGCGCATCCTTGCGGAAGAAGCCTCGCACTGCGACGCATGCGCAAATTAGCTATGCGCGAGCGTCCCAAGCGGGTCTCAGGGTGGCTGTCGTGTCCGACGGTTATCCTGGGACTCAACTTACCGACGTACAGGTGCAGCAGGTTCAAGAGGCGGTCAGTGTGCTGATAGATGGGCTCCCAGATGAGGCGGCCCTTCCCAGGTACATAGACTGCTACCTCTCTCGAGGGGCAGCCATCTTTGTCTGCGAGTGCGAATCCTCTAGAGCATGGTTGGAGGCCTTTTAAAATAAGGTATCACTCGACCCCCCTTTCCATTTAAGATTTTGGGGGTGGTGTCACCCCCGCTTAGGGGCTGTACGTGCTAATGTGAATTTTTATCAAACCTGTGTGCCCCTGGAAAACAAAATCGACGGGTCTTAGCATTTTTCAAAAAAAAAACTGAGCTGCCAGTAAATGCGACTATTTCGTTTTCGATGCGCCACTCTGTATAATGAATATATGGTATACTCAAGCGGATGCGAGTGAGATATTGTTTGGTCTACTGCGAACACGTAGTACGCATCTTTGATTTACTGAATCTTATATGTAGAACAGTGTTTTGTATATATCAAAAAATATCATAGCATAGAATCATTTATGACTAGTGAATCAATTTTCAAAATAATATCGGACAAACTGTTTGTCCAAAAAGCAATAACAGCATTTAATAGATTCAATGAATCTACCGTATTTCGTTCTTTTGTTAAGTTTTTTGAAAAGCTCACTTGTTTACCATTGGACGGGTCCAGGAGTGGTATTCTTGAAGTCGTCAGAACTTACCGATTAACGACAAACATTGGTAAGTGCAACCAAAGACGTCATGCCTTAACCTAAATGCGATGAGCTCGCGGAAAGTACTGCAATATGCACTGATAGGTTTAATTTTCCATATCCACAGCTTGGATTAGAATTATATTAGCCTGGACGATCAATAGAGTTACTTCAATACATAATATTGTAGCAGATTTATTATGCTATAAGTAAATATACGCCTGAAAATAGACAAACTATTGAGGTTGTGTGGTTTCAACAGGCCAAAAGTGATGTTAAGACTTGAAAATGTGAGAAAAATTGAACGGTCGTATCAGCGGAACTTGAGGCACGCCCTAACAACGAATATGTCGAAAGGTCAGCCCGAGGGTGTCCGTGGGTCAGGAAGTGAGATTTAACGCCCAAAAAGCCTATCCACAAAGTACAATTTACCGCTCGGTCGTAGATAATCAATGTTGATTGACCGTTTGTTGTGAAATATAACCCCATCTTTTGAATGGTACCCGCTACTTATATATGCGATATGTTATAGATTTGTTATTTATGCCATTGATATCTGCAATGACCGTTACTCTAAAGCGAACATAAACCACTGGACATACGAAACCAGTTCTCAAATTCTACTATTTCAGTGCATTGCATTATTACCCCATTAAGCTCTTTTTCAGGTTTGGTATCTTGTTGATATGCCCTGCGTTTCAAACCACAAGTCGAAACCACACAACCTTAATAGTTTGTCTATTTTCAAGCGTATATTGACTTATATCACAATAAATCGGCTAAAATATTATATACTGATGTAACACTATTGATTTCGAATATTATGCACTGATGTAACACTATTGATCGTTCAATTCTATCCAAGCTGTCGATATATCCAATTAAATTTATCAGTACATATTGCACTACTTTCCGTGAGCTCATCACATCTAGGCTTGGAGATGACATCTTTTATCTTATCGATAACCGTCGGTTGACCAAACAGAGCGAGTTTCGTCGTACCTACAACTTTTCTGCAGGTTATGCAACATGACATATTTCGTCGTGTTTGATCAATTTGTTTAAATGCCATTTTAATACTATACGATTTGATACATCACCTTACTTTTAGGATCATTCATAATTTGAGACCATCCGTTTCATCAGCTAATTCATCTAGTATTAAACAGCAGATATGTATCTCTATTATCTGAGAAGACAATTAGCGAACCTACATAGAAAAGCAGTACAGCAATCTTTAACATGAAAAAGTAATCAAATACATGTAGACTATCGAGTTAAAAATATAATAGACGTCCTATGATAATTATCAGATATTTAACATGTGACTTTTATTTAGTGCCGTTCGTCATATCTTGGCATTGGCAGTTTGCTTATTATTGTTATTAAGGCTGGATATGTTTGAGTATTTACCAGTGCCTATTGTCAGCAGTATTAATACCTACTGAGGTGGCAATGGGCTAATTGCTGCTTGTTTTTTAAGAAAATATCACGAAAGATTTGTTTAATTGAATATTGCCTATATGTTTTCTTAAATACTATACGTATAACCTTTAATTTTGGGATACAAAGACACACTGGTACGAAATCCTTTATATGGTGCTATTTTCTTACACTTCAGCTACTGCCAAAATTTTGCTTAAAAGTGATATGAAAAGACACTAATAGTTATTTATCCATTTATGGCGTTTAGGTTTGAAAATTAAAAATATGATTAAAAATTTAACAATCGTGTCAGTGGAACTGCGGCACGCCCTAACAACGAATACACAAGGATTCAATGTCTGAACGTGGAGTCCGTGAGATGAAAACTGAGATTTAACTTCAAAAAAGCCTATCCACAAGTCCAATTTGCCGCCCGGTCGTAGATAATCCTTGTTGATTGTGTACTTAGCGTATGTATCTATTAGGGCATGAACTTTCCACCGTTTGTTGTGAAATATAACCTTATCTTTTCAATAGTACGCGCTACGTATATATGCGATATGTTATAGATTCGTTATTTACCGTTGCCCTAAAATGAACTCAAACAACTACACATGCGAAACTAGTACTCAAATTCTGCCATTTCAGTACATTGTACTTTTAGCCCATTAAGTTATGCTCCAGTTTTCTTACCATTCTGTTAAGCCCCGCTTTTTAAACCACAAGTTGGAACCATACATTTTCACGCGCATATTTACTTATATATATATATATATATATATATATCATAATAAATCTGCCACAATATTATGTACTGAAGTAACTCTATTGATCGACCAGGCTAATTCAATTCTAATCCAAGCTGTGGATATGGAAAATTGAACCTATCAGTAGATATTGCAATACTTTCCGTGAGCTCATCGCATCTAGGCTAGGGCATGACGTCTTTGGTTGCATTTACCGATGGTTGTCGTCAATCCGACGACTTCAGGAATACCACTCCTGGAAGGGAAAAGGGACCAAACAGTATTCAAGAGCAGATTTAGCGATCTGTCTAAGAGGGGGGAGATCGCAGTGGTGGTCACAGCATTTATGTTCAGTCTGTTCGTCTCCCCACTGGGAGGATTTTCCAACTGGGAGGGATGGCATACTTGGAGGTCGACGAGGGACAGATCGTCCCCTGTAAATCCGCCATTGACAGTATTGTTTATAGTATGAAATCCAATTAAAAAATGGTTTTGTTATGTTCATAGCTATATTATATATAGTAGCTATTATTATTATATTATTATAAGGTAGTTTTTATT